TAAGAAAAAGCCTTCGGATGCTGTCAACATTCGAGCAATAGAGACTAGTACCTATCTAGTGATAGATATTCAAAAAAATGAAGTCCTAGAGAAAATTGAGGAAAGCAAGGCCTTCTTTCAGGTATTACTGCCTTTCCATAGTTGTTCTTTTCAAGTTCATGTTTGGGGCAGCTTCATTCTAATCTGTTCGTGATTATGGTAACTCTTGAGTTTACATAAGTAAATTCTTTTTTTAGTTTGGTAGCTTTGAATATGTGCTCCCATTTTAGATGTGAAAATAGGTAAAGTTTTTGACTGATTTAATTCAATGCAGGTACATGAAGGAGCCGTGTACATGCGGCAGGGCAAGACCTATCTGGTAAAAGATTTGGATCTGTCAGCTAAAACTGCTTGGTGCCAGGAGGCAGATCTAAAGTATTATACAAAAACTCGTGATTACACAGACATTAAGGTTCTTGGAGGTGATATAGTATGTCTCTCTCTCCACAGAACTACATCCTCTAGAAGTTACCTGCCATTTTCAGGTTACTATGCACGAAAGTATGGGGGCAGGAGGACTGCAATTGGATTAGATTCAGTTAGAGCTGCTATATCTCATTGAGAACGCTTAATGATTTGAGAAAATAACTTAGTTTGTTGCTTCGTTGATTTTTTGAGTTACTAGGGTGGACATTCCAGGAAAAAGAACAACAAAGTTGTATGACTAGATAAGCAATTGCAATTGTTCACAAGTATGGGATGATGTTGTCATTGTAACATATATAAAGCTTCAAGCACAGGTTGAACTGGCCAAATTCTTATATCCTTCATTTTAAGGTATGAAGAAGTCGAGTGTAAGCGCGTATTCATGTCTGATGACTTTACTCAGGTCCATAAAATTGATTGTACTAAGCATGAGAGAGAGAGAGAGAGAGAGTAATCTGCATGAATCACAACTCAATTTCAAAATCAAAGAATGTCGTTCACATGAAATGAGATGGATATGCTTAAAAGAACAAAAAATTGTTTAGAAGGGACTTGTAGAAGAGTTTGGAGCAAAAGGATAAATTGTGTTGACCAACTTTACTCATTCTCTCAAGAGTACTCTCCCCATCTTTTGGTCGATATCTAGTCAATTTATTCGAAGTTTAATGTATTTAGATTTCTGCTATCTCCTTACCCTTATTCTCCTCATGTCTCCCATATCTCTGCTTTCTCTGCTATCAATAGTTTCTGAAGTTAGATCTTACTGCCTACTGTTGTTCAGGCCTATCCGGTGACCATGCCCAATTTTCCAAATACAAATGTTGGAGCAAGTAAAATTCTAGAAACAACTGCTCTGGCTAATAGTTGTAAAGTGATTACAACTTGGTTTGGATTTCGTCGAATAAGCAGAGCTGGCGGTCGAGTCCTGGATACAGTTGACCTTTCACTTCCCAAATATTCCTATCAGTCACAGGTGCTCTTGCGATGCCAATTTCACTTGTCTGGTACAATTGCTGTTTCCTCCAACTCTTTCCCTAAACAAAAGTATGTTTTAACCTTGCACATGCAAACAGGCAGTATGGATTCCGGTTCCACAAACTGTCAAAGAAGCTGTTGAAATGAAAAGTTTCTCATTCCGTGCGGGCTTACATGCTGCTTCACATGCTCTTCTAAATGTTGTGCCTTTGTAAGTCTTTGATTTGCAGCATGGCGGCATTATTTAGGCTACTCCCTGTTAGGCATTTGTGAAATCAATGCAAAGCTCATCAAAATTTTCTCATCACATGACAACGGGAGTTAATATTTAGTTATGGGATTGCTAATATTGGGTTTATGCCATATATCTTGCTTTCAGTGTGGTAAAGGTGACAGCAACCTCTCAATTCTTGGTGGAGGTTGGTCAGGGGTTATCCTCATTTGTAGGATAGGAAACTCTGTTAAATATACTTTAAGCAAATAAATAGATGAATATTTCATGTGAAAGTTTATGTGAACATCTGGCACCAAGGGGATTGTAACCGCCATCAGCCTCCCTCAGGTTCATCTAAATGGTGAACATAGTAATTTGGTTATATGTGTATTCAGATATACAAATTTATCACATATATGTATGCATTCATATGGACATATGTGACAAGGATCCTTCTTTAGGTATAGTTAATTGAGTCATAAGCTTGTGCTGTACTACGATGACTTACGGTGCAAGATCATTTTACTTCTGTGAAAGATCCCTTGATGTTGCCTCTACTTAGAAACATCTATCTGCCCACACGTCAAGCTTTGTGCTGTTAACTTCATCTGTATATTTTCTATCATTTTATTCATTAAGCTCTGGCTTTGAGGTCCCTTCAACTTTCTATTGTGTTCAGTAAATATATTTTCCATGGTGATATACATGAATGGAGTGATAGTTTATCTCAAGATAACAATGATAGACAAAAGACAATGAATCAAAGTCAATAATTGAATGAAATGAGAGTAACTTGAGTGGTTTGAGAAGAACCGAGGTTAGGCATGTACAGTGGAGGATATTATAAATGCCACGCGCACCATCTTATTTCCGATGTCTTATATTTATGGTTCTTTCCTGCAGATGCGTAATATGCAATTCAGCTGACTTGGCTCCAGAGTGTTCAAATCCGCATGATTCACGGTCTTTCCAGGAGCGGATATTGTTGTATGACAAGCATCCTGGAGGAACTGGTGTTTCATTGCAAGTGAGTAATGGGAAACTCAACCGTGTAAATATAAAGAAAGTAACTGATTATTGCAGGCATTATCTCCTTTCTACAGTAGAGCACCCGTTCTCTTCTGATGCATGTTCCCTAGGTTACAACTGATTCAAAACATCAGACCATGATCGTGTTGGTGATTCAATTTGATCCATTAATTTTTTTCCAAAAGTAGCGAAGGAAGTCAGAATTTCGTTTTTAATGGACTATTACTGGTTATCCTTTCATAATTTTTCTAAATGGCTGATCTCCTGCTTATATGAAGATGTCTCGTGTTACAGGTCCGTCCCTATTTCCGGGAGCTACTAACTGTTGCTTTGGAGGTTCTTTCATCTTGCCACTGCATGGGAGACACTGGCTGCCCTAAATGCATCCAGGTCAGTTCAGCTGGGGGGATAAGAACCTTGTTCTCGTCTCACCTCATTTACTAAATGTCAACTTGACAATTTGCTCTTGCATGGTGCAGAGCCTGGCTTGTCACGAGTACAATGAAGATCTCCACAAGGATGCCGCCATTATTATAATCAAGGTCATTGAGCTCATTGCTTTCAATCTCTCTATTGTACTATCTCACGACACGACCAAGTAGCTGACCGATTGCCTTTATTGTCTAGGGTGTTCTGGATGCAGAGAAATCTCATTTCGGTCATTCTCCACACTCCCCAAAAACCTCTTGACCGACTGTGGTAGAGCCAGTGGCTTCCGGTAGTCACTTTTACATGCGGATAAACTGTTGCAGTGTGCCTAACTGTGGATGACCTTCCTTTGCAGGGACGACCTTCCTGACTGGATGACCTTCTCTACGTTATAAATACGGTCGCCATTTTGGTTGCGAACATATGGGTAAATTGTATCATATTCATTCGACATGTTAAGCCGTCAGTCATCTCCCGGTAGTTTAGGTTGATCTAAAGGAGGTTCGAGTCTGGAGAGAGCCAAAAAACAATAGGGAAGAGCCATTGCAGAACATGCAGAGGTTCTGCAGGGTACTGTTTTTGCCACTAATCTTACAATGCGAAGAAAAATACATCAGATCTAACTATTCAAGGGAATGTACATATTATCTAAATCTTCAATTATATAAGCGTAGTCACATATTGAACTGTTGTGTACATACTTATTTCGCTTTTTTTCATGGTTTTCGTTCTTGTTTGGCTCTTGAAATCGCATCTCGCAAAATCCGACTCGTTTTTTTCATGTGTAGATGGGTTGAACATACTAGGAAAATTTTTCGATAGGCCACATCCACCATTCTCGAATTCACAATCCAATCATCTTGTAGACTATATAGAATTGGATGACCTATTGCATGTACTGATTAAGAGCACGTTATGGTCGCCGAAATCTCCTGTACTATCCCGCTTTCCCTTGGGAAAAAAAAAAAAAGGGAAAATTTTTCATGTTGGTTTACTTCTCGAAACATGGATAAAAAAATCAAGGAACCACTAATCCAATTATTTTACGGAAAATAAATTCTTTACAAAATATTTTTCTAAAAATGATCTTTTGAATCACTTGAAATGATTAGTAAATGAAAATTTTGTTACGTTGCTAATAATGACTTACGTCTAAATGTTTTTGTGGATGAAAAAAAAAATTCTTCAAAGTAATATAAGTAATCATTTTTAGAAATATATTTCTCAAATCATTCATTTTTTGTAAGACAAACGGAACCTAAATTGTATGTCTAGTAACAACATTTTATTTCAAATTATAAGTGTTTACAATTTCAACGAATTATCAACTTTTATTAACGTAACTTACAATGCGATTTACCAATTCTTATACGAAATTACCAATCTTGATTTAAATGGGTTGCCAACTAAGATGAAGTTACCAACAAATTCAAGTCACATGCCAATCTTTATTAGATCGATTCTAAATTGCGAACTTTATTGTAAGTTATTGATTTTTATATCGAATTACCAACTTTATTTGTTATATGGAATTCAATTAATATTTTGTGAAGCTATGAAAATATAATATACATCATAGACTAAGATAAGAAACGGCATTATTAACATATATGATGACTCAGAACAAATCGAAAGATGCATATCGAATCCGTGGTACAAATACAACGAATAGTGTCGTGCCTATTAAGCCGATTAACCTATCTCCGAGTAAAGGTGAACTCAAAACAATTTCTTAGGGGGAAAAGCTACAAAACTTACCAAAAGAAAAACATGAGAATTTGAATTTCTGTCAAGATCCGGATAAGACCAGTTATGACAAAGTTCGTATTTCAAAGTGTAATCCACAGCTTGAAGGAGATAAAACTGCAAACCTGCCAGCCAAAAACAATTGAACTATCCCATGCCTCTTCATTGTATGATAAATACACTTTCTCTGACCATCCAATGTGTAAGAATCAAATTGTTAAAGATGTTACACTGGAAAGGGAGAATAAAAAATGTCCTACAAAAGTAGCTGTTCTACTTCTCTACCTCTGCATTGTATCGGCGATGTTGCTGTTCTGGAGCGACAAAAAAAAATGTCTCAGAAGTTAACCTAATCTGAGAGATGGCTCGCATGTCAACTCACGGCACAGTCTCGGATGTATGGATGATGCCGATTTAAATACCTGTCCCAGAGAGGTTTATACCTGCCAATGGCCAACTTCAGCCACGGCTTCATGTTACCATTGAAGTGAACAACTGCTGCACTCTCGATCAGACGGTCATCTAGGTTCATATCATAGCCTAATCCTAACACATGCCATCTCCGATCGAGCGGCTCTGTCAGTCCATAGAAAGCTAGAAGGCCAGGAGGCAGAGTACCTAGCTTCCACAGGGTCCTTTCTGAGTTCTGCTCTTGCCAGTAATGATACCTTGCAGTCACATTTGCTCTCCTCCAAGCAACCAAGTCAAAGACATTCATGCCGAATGCCCATGCACATGCCTGAGGATCAAATTTCGAACTGATGTCCGGATTGGAGAAATTGAGATACTTGTAGTAGCGATGGAAGGCTTCTAGACAAGTCTCGACAGCTCCGTTTACGTTGCCGTGCAGATCTATTGAGAAGAGCGACATCAGATCCTTCTGGACCACAACATCATCATCAAGAAAAACTACCTTTTCCAGCTGAGGATAGATTTCTGGAATATAGAATCTAAGGTGGTTAAGAAGTGAAATGTACTTTGGGTTCCGCAGTTTTGGCTCATCTTTTGTATCTTGAGGATTACCGAAATAGTAGGCCTGAGAATCTGCATCAGAAAGCTGTCTCAGTATAGGAGCATATGTAGAAGTCAGCCAAGAGAACTCCTTGATATTTTGCACTATAATGGTGGAACCTTTGAAGTCGTTACTAAGGAACCATGCTTGCATCGCTCCATAATTTACACCATTTGTGAGAATGTGGAAAACGATCTGCTTTGGATGATTGGCATTGGAGACAGTAGAGTTGACAACTACGGAGGTAGCTAGAACATTGTCTGAGAATATGCAGAAATGATGAAGATTGTTGTCAACAAGTTGAGGATATTTTCTTGTGTTATCAGCAAGTTTTTGCAGAGGAAGTTTCTTAAGCCAATCCAGAGATAATTTGACACTTAGGCAATGGAGGCTTTTCGGCAATGCTTCAGCTGCCAATTGTCCAAACACAGCGCTCTGAACTAAAGCTGCATTAGCGCGCTCTTCCAGGGCTTCGATATGGGATCTCATGGTCATCATGGTGGTTGCAATATCATAGTGCATGTCCTGTGCGTTGAAGATCAGAGATGATAGGCTTTTAATTAATGGCTCTGCTTCTTCTAATTTGATGGGCTCTCCTCTCATTGCAGCCTTTGAGAGTGCTAACTGGCAACGTCTTATCTTTGAGCTCAGTTGCCATGCCAGGTGAAGGTTGTTGTGTTCTTTCGCTACAATAAGATAAGCCTTTGCAAGGATCATTTGCTCAGCTAACTGCCTAGAATATGACATGGCGCTGACCATTTGCTCCGTAAAATTCGAATTCCTATGGCTCTCCTTTAATAAGCTCGCACTTTTATCCTGAAAAAACAAAAGCAAGAAAACAAAGTTCTGAATCGAAGCCTAAACCCGAGAATAGATTGCCAAATGATAGAACAGTTAACTCAAATCACATCAGACGGTTACTCAATTACTGAGAATGAATCGGAGCTGCATTGCAAAACATAGGAACATATGCTCTTGATAGGAAATTGGATCATTTCAAATTCGCATCCTCGCATCTAGAATCCCCGATAGGATGGCAGAAAGGAGGCGAATGACTTAATTTCGACCGTCTACTTTTCTTCTGACAAACTAAAGATGTAATTTTTCTACTGGAAAGCGAATCTTTTCTCTCGACACCGAGGGCCTCGAGCTCAATAACATCCATTGCAGAAACAAACACAGATCACAAAGCCTAAAGACATAGCAAGACGATCAAGCAGTAATTATGGAGGTCAGCAGAGAACAAGAATTCGGCGCAACAGGCTCTCATCAGAATCAGGCGGCCTTCGATTCATTGCGAAAGCGATTCAATTGGGAGTCAAAGCTCGAGGCACGAATTGTGTTTTCCCGATTTCGCATTCATCGATCACCAACAACAGGAATAGCCCAAAAAAAAAAAAAATAACTCAAGCTGCGAAAACTGCGAGTACCCATTTAGGTTCATTATGCAGAAGAGACGAGATCAACATCCAAATTAGAAAAAACGAGAAAGTTCATTCAATTCCCAATTCGATCCAAAAAACGAGAAGCAGCGGTTCCTGTCAAAGCTCAATCAAGAAACAGGGTCAAACCGGTCGAGAGCCCTTACCGTCGCTGGCTTCCTCATCTCATCGCCGCCGTGGTTATGCTGGAGCGCGAACAAGACCAACCCCGCCACGAAGAAGGCCCCCAGGAGCGTCCAGATCCAGCGCGAGAGCCCCCGCCGCGCGGGCCGCCGGAAGTCCACAGCCCGCCGCCGCATCCCCCGCCGCCGCCGCCTCCCCGCCGCCGCCGCCGCTCACGGCCCGACCGGCGGTGTCGAGCGAGGAAGTTTCGAAGGAGGAGGAGGAGGAGGGAAGCAAAGCTCTCTCGCGAGAGCGACTTGACCCTGGACTGTGTCAGAGGAGAAACGTCGGAAACGACATCGATCCGATCCAATCTCCGTCCCCCGAAAAATATAAATTTTGAAATTTTTAAAAATTCTTTTTTCCTTCTTCCTTTTTTTCCCCCTTTTATTTTTGCTCAAAACATCTTATGACATCGTCTTTTTCTTCAATTTGATCATTTAAATTTAAATTAATAACTTAAAATTTCAGTGGACACTCGAGAATATCCTACACAATCGCACTACTCATAATTACATAGATTTATTCATCGTAATTAGCCGTTAAGGCCCCTTGATTCGGGATCTTATTTACCATCTCGTCTGATTCGTACCGCATCATATGTCCCCAGTACAGATCCTCTTTCGATTAATATGACATAAATGGGGCTTCGTAAGTACCCCCACAGTGCAAATGTACTTAAGATATGTTATAGTTATAGTTACACATCGACCGGATATACACGATAACAAACATTAGATGATATTAATTACGCACGGTGCATATATCAAATTTAAGTTCCAACATTATTCTTCGAGGTGGCTAAGCATCCATGAAGGGAGAAGAGTGGCATTGCGATGTTGGGGTGGACCAAGAGCTGTTCCCTCCTCAATTCCAGTTGCATGGTAAGGACCCCTGCCAATTGGAAAAAATGCACATACCCACTTAACTTTCCAATCATAAATTCAAAATATTAATAAGACATAACCTTAAACAAAAGGTTAAAAAAAACAATTTTTTTTTTCTTTTTCTCTATAATATGTATCATTTCTTTGTAACATGTACTATTTGAACGGACCGATTTAAAGGATGACTAATCATTCCATATCACCATGTTTAGTTTAAGGTTACACTATCGATTTTTCTTATACCGAATTGCAGACATTGTTCATACGAAAATAATAACAAGGGCATGAACCGGTGGTATTCATGTCCTCATCGGAAAATAAGTTATTCGTACAAAATTTGCATTTGATGAGCATCATCAACGGATCATTGTGATTGTGGATAGGGGAATGAACAGAAAGTCCTTCCATTAAATAAATTCACCGTATATAAAACGTTATAGCACCCGGTAAATCATGCGTATGATGTAAGTGAATGATATGCTTAATTAATAAGCTTGAAACCATCATATTTCTTTCATGAAAACTTCCGACGTGCCCCATGAATTTATACATTTAGACTCAAATTTATATATTAGATATCATATAATAAAGGTGAGAGAGAGAGAGAGAGAGGACCCAATGTTGAGAGGCTGCAAAGATTGAGAGAGAATAACCGAGGAAGAGGTGAGGGCATTATCTTGCTGGTTCTCCCATTGAGTTTGCTGTGCCAGTGCCTTCTCCTTCTCTTTCACCTGCTTGAAATTTTGGGTTCAGCACCATACTCTGCTTTATTAGGTACACAGCCATGCAAGGCAACCACATTTCCAGAGCTAATACAATTTTTGCCTTCATTACAGAACAGTAGTTATAATGTCTGAACAAAGATCATCGAACATCACCTTCTTTGCCAGCAGGTTGTTTTGTTCCTGCAGCGCCTTATCCTGTCACCAAATGAAATTTTTTTTTTTAAAAAAAACATAGCTCAATTGATCACTTTCCTACATCAGCACTATAACAGATACACGGAATACTTTTACATTTCCAATCAACTGTGATAATACTGATTTTAAGAAAGATGTGCTGCCAAATTGCCGTCTACACATGTTATGCACGGACTTGATCATGAATGCTTGACACGCATTAGCGTGGAAAATCATAATCTCACATCAAGCAAATCTAGCAGAAACATATCTGTCCTTTCTCCCTTCACCGTCAGAGATAAAGTGATTTCGACGTGTTAAAGTCGAAAGTATATCGCAATTTGTGCCTGTTGCTTCTAGTCCAAGGAATAGAATTCATGCCCTATATATATGCACGATATAGAATATAATAAATCTTGTAACCCTTGATTTTTTTGGGGAATATATATGTAGCAAAGTAAAAATCATGGCATTTACAGGACCCACCTTTCTCTGAAGCTCAGAGATGGATTCATGCATGGCTTGGTTCTGCGAGTATGAGGACAAAACAGATGAGAGTATAATAGGAGAATAAACTCAAAGTAACAAAAGTAACATACTGTGCTAGACTCGACCTTTGTTAGATGAACCGGGCGGCAATCTCATTAGAAAGAGACCCTCTCCCTTCGAATGATAAAATTGACTCTAATTTACTCCATCGAGAGATCGACACATCTCGCTATCAAGTATACTATTCAAAGATCAATATCGATGTTCCCTTTTGTTATTCCTTTTCTTTACTTTTTTCCTAATCTTGTTCACTATTCAAACCCTAAGCAAAAGATAGCATTCCGGTCGCCATCAACGGTTGTCGGACTTGACTTTGCCTCCGCACCTTCAGTGTCTTCCGCCCGCCCCCCAATTATTACCCTCCTCTACCGTACCCCGCGCCCACCACCACCCCCACCCGCCGTAGCATTGTCGGTGTTTGCTAGGAAATTCGACAATCTAAGATTGGTGTCAGTGGATTGCAACAAAGTAACAGCACCGGGCGTGGTGGCGAATGCTTTTGGCCGAAGCCTCGGATGCAGGGAGAGGGAGCAAGAGAGATTCCCCGGGTTTTTTTGGTTGTCGAGGATAATTTGCTGATGCGTTACAATTTCAACCTTAAATATTCTGATACCATCGTGTCAATTTGTCAAAAGGGATGAACTGAAGATGTCAATTTGCCTCTAACGGACCCTTAGATGTAGAGAGAATCTTCACCCTTACAAGAAATTTGAGGCCTCAAGCGCGCACCAAAACTTACCTTTCTCGATCGAATGTGCTTAAGAGCTGTCTCAAGCTGGTGCTCCAAATTCTGAAGCTCTTTGAGGCTTAAAGAATCAAGTTCTTCTCCCATCAGATTCCTGAAGGAATTCAAAAAATCAGTGAAGTTTTCTGCCCTTCCAAAAAGTTGTACCCAGAAATTAAATGTATCTTACGACAAGGATTTACTTTTGATTTTTCTGCAAAATCTCCATCCTGGCCTTGAGTTTTGCATGTTCCAAAGCCCAGTTCCCCTAAAATAAGAAGTTGCATATCATACTAATGTGCTAGTAGAGCAAAAATTACATAGATTATCGAATGAAGACGAGTAAAAGTGAAAAGAAAATGCATTTGTGCACATATTGATATGAAAATCTTCTCCTAGCTACATGAAGCTAGAACCATTAATTGGTTAGAATGAACTTGACGAGTAATCGAACATTATGAATTCGACATTGGAATTGGAAATCATACATTGGCTTGAGCATCGTTTGTAAGAATCTGGCTCTCTGCATATGAATATCTCTCATAACGCTCGAGGATCCTCTCCATGCTACCAAAAAGAAATATAATATGGGTTAGATTAACGGCATATAATTTTAAATCGCCATTTTTTCACTAAATTAAATCCTAATCAAGCTCTAACTAATTGGAGGAAATTCGAACAAACATATAGTCTGGGTGCATGAAGTGTACGTGTGAGGCGGTATTTTGATGCTAAGTGATATCATTAGCTTTTGGTGAAAGCCTAAGCAAGTGATGTTTATATACGGTGCCATCGCAGTAAATACATAGTGATTAATTAGTAAACGCATACTACATATTTTTTTTATAGAGTATTTTAGAAGTTTCCCAATTTCTTGTCGTGCAAAGCTTCAAACTTTAGTATCTTTGATAATGAGGCAATCTCGAATGGATAAGTTCTTTTAAACTCTCGAAGAAAAAGACATCAAACCATTGTAAAACTTGATGTAAGTAAACCACAATTGAACATTGAACATCCCTAATTTTATTTTGTCATATGCATCGAGACAATATTTGTCTTGTTTCTTGAAGAACTAGAAGCAATCTTAGAAAATATAATCTAGAAGGTGATGTAGTAATATATGGCCTCTTTTTCGTGAATATGATCATTTCCGTATCCTAGCTACTTCAATCTTTAATTATGTAATCTATAAAGATTATCCACTATTTCTTAAACGGATTTGAGGTTTTGATTCGAAAGCGAAACCTAGAAAAAGGACACGACAACATAAAACTACAATCCTAGCTGAAGTGAAATCTTATAGAGCAAACTACATCCGGGAGTACTGTTAATATGCATTGTGGACTTTATTACATTCACTAGAAAGGATGTTTTGTATCCATAAGCAATCGTGTACATAGGTAAAGTCTAATCTGCAAATGAACCAAGGGCTTCGCAATCAAAAAATTGCTTGTGGGAAGTAAAATTTCCACGAGATTGTCATCTAGAAAATTTCATTCAATTCACGGACTGACAAACTACAGTGATACAACTAAAAGGGGAGTAAAATTTTGATGACAAAAGCCTAAAAAGTGCAGTGTCATCCACTGCTTAGTAAATCCAGTAGATTACATTGCTTAGTAAAATCCCATTTTTCGGCGGTAAGGAGTAAAACAAGAACATTGAAAAGAGTTTCAAGAGCATCGCAAGACCGCTAATGCTGTCGTGAATTCAATCTTTTGGTAGTCTTTTCGTGGCTAAAGGAGATGTATTGTCCATGACTGTGCATCCCATTATGATGCTCCAAAGAAACTAGTCAACATATCTTTTGTTTAATTGGCCAAAGAAACAGTCGAGCTTTGATTAGACCAAACCATGCTATTATAATAAGCAGTACACAACAACGCAAATAAACTTTTTTTCTTTTTGGCAAAAAGTGCACATAGAGAACTTGGAAAAGAAATTTTTTCTTTTAGCTTATCGAAAGAGAAAAAGATGTACATCCAATGACCTATTTTCCATACGAAAAACCAAATTTTGATATGAGGAATTCATTTGAAACGTAACTCATGATTTGATCGACTCATGCAGAAGAATTTTCGTTTTTTCTACCGTAAGGAACTACTTATCTGTTTTCTTGAGGTAGATCCTTCTTTATTCTTTTTAAAAAGAGGTTTCTTCTTTTGGGTGCAAGTTTAGTTCGACCAGTCTTTCGGTGTGGTTAGTGCCAACAGTCCCATATTATAATCCAGATCATGTAGTAATCTAGACGCCACTTGTTCTTGCTCGAGATTATATGTTAAAAAAATGCTGTAATTTAGATTATCCAAGAACGTCCCCAACCCCATTTCCGAGAGAAAAGGAGCTAAAAAAAATCCTTTTTATATTAATAAAAAGAAGTAGGTATATATGAAACTTTCTGTCTCTTCCATCACAGCCACATCTCTCGACATAAAACTTCCAAATTAAACGATGTACGCTCTCTCTCTCCAGTATGTATCTGCGCTTGAAGAGAAGAATGACTTTCATTTTGATTGTGACGAGAGAGAGAGAGAGAGAGAGAGAGAGAGAGAGAGAGAGAGAGAGAGAGAGATCTTGAGCTTTTGCTGCTTGTCAAGATGAGCAGCACTCACTTTACAGATTTAATGAGCATATTATCCATCCTTTTTAGCGGGAATATAGTCACTAATACCTCAAGAAGAAGAAGAAGACAGCCCATCTCAGCTCCATCCACAAAACATATAAACTTTACGAAATAAAATAGGAAAAAGAGCAGAAATAATATGAGAGAGATGAACCCTACTGTAGAGGAAGAGATCAACCAAGTGACTGCCAAGAAATCCAGACGATGACCCCAGAAACGGAAAACAAGAATCGATACCCAGAAGAGAATTTTAGCAGAAAGAATGCAGCTTTTCAAAATAATAGTAAAAAGAAATAAAGGGTAGGGTTGGAGATCAGAATAACGTGTAGATCAAGAAACAAGTACTGAGAACCAGATGAACGCAAAATGGAAAAAAGAAAAAGGGGAAGGATATTGATCAGAAATATAAGAGCAAACAGATGAAGAAGAAGAAGAAGTCGACGAATCAACTACGAGAGAAGCAGATGGACGCGCGCAGAGGGACGTACCAAGAGTCGGTGGCGTACTCGAACAGCTTGCCCTTGGTGGAGAAGACGATGAGGGCGACCTCAGCGTCGCAGAGGACGGAGATCTCGTGGGCCTTCTTCAGCAGCCCACATCTCCGCTTCGAGAACGTCACTTGCCTGTTTATCTTGTTCTCTATCCTCTTCAGCTGCACCCTCCCCCTCCCCATCCTCTCTTCTCTCTCTCTCTCTCTCTCTCTCTCTCTCTCTCTGTAACCACCGCACCACCGCAAGAACAAGATAAAGAACGGCAAGAACAACGTAAGAGCGAGTGTATGTATAAAGCACGCACACGCACACGCACACCAAGAGGTGGAGAAGATGATACAATCGATGGGTCTGTGGGATTTATCTGCCTGTCTTCCTAAACTATTCGCGCTGTCTTTGGTGGAGACATGAATTAATTATACGAATGGCCTTCCTCCCTCCCTCCCTCTCTCTCTCTCTCTCTCTCTCTCTCTCTCTCTCTCTCTCTCTCTATACCTATGGTGGTCTATCTTTCTTAATGGAGACAGCAGGAGGAGTGGAGAGGGACGGGTTCGTTGAGCTATTATATACGGAAATGGAAATAAAGTCGAAGGAGATGAAGGAGAGAGAGCGAGAGAGATGGCGGTATTGGAAACCAGGGAGCGGCTTTGTCGCGAACGCTGTCGAGCTCTGATTGGCGGAGAACCACCAGTACTTGTCCTTTGCCATCCTCCTCCCCCGAGCCGCACCTCCTTTGCTTACGCCCTTGTTTACTGCTTTTTTATTAGGGTTCCACTTCCAGACCACCCCCCAAAATAATAATAATAATAATAATATTAGGTTTCCTCTTTTTCTTTTTCTTTTTATTTTTTTATTTTTTCTATTTCGAGATTGGGAAAATAACACAGATGGCCCCCTGAACTTTGACCCGATATGCAATGTGACCCTTGAACTTTCAATTTGTTCGATGCGGTCTCTAGACTTTCGGTGCATGTTCAATTTAGTTCGCGGACAATATGAAAATTTTCGATGGTGTCCCTGAACTTGAATTGATGGAACGACAATAGTGGGCATTTTCATATAATTCGAAAACTACTTTGTACATGTACCAAAAGTCCAAGGATCACATTGCACATTGATCTAAAGTTCGGAAACCACATTAAACAAATTAAAAGTTCAACGATCATATTGAACATTTGGCCAAAGTTCATGGACCATTTGTGCCATTATCCCTTCTGGGGTTATATAGTTAAAGCTATGGCTGGCGACTCGTGGGCTTTACTGAATTTTTTTCCCCTGCTATATGTTTTTGAAAAAAGATTATGAAATACATATTACTGTTAATTTTACTTAGATATCTAAAATCCATAGGCCTAAATCCATTAAAAACCCCAAACTTTATGTTATGTCCCAAATCTACCCCAAACTTTTTTCTATCTCATAAAAAGTCACCAACTTTCATTTTATACCTAAATCTATCCTCTATTATTTTTCCATCCAATTATACCCTTAGACTCTGATGTGTCATCTATTTGTCATTTTTTACACGTCAGTTTAGTTAAATTTTTTTTGTCCTTCCTTTTACCGCCGCCATGGACACTGTTCATCGTCTTCTTCGCATAGACATGCTCGGCCATAGTTCACCGGCGCTCACCCATCGCCACCCAGAACTCCGACGCCACACCACGACCTCCGACAACCCCTCCACGACTGTGGGCAATCGTCGGAATCAACTCCGGCAATCTCAACCAAGACCCCTATTTTCGGTTCTAGTTTTTCAAGCTTCAAGAAGGCATTTTTATTGGCCATTACCTTCGCTCAGTCATCCCCGCAGCTTTGTAGAATTATTTCATGCCCGGGCGAAAACAGAACGAGCCCAAACTCTTCTCTCTCTCACTTTGTGCTCTATGGTCGGCCTCCATTAATGGAGGTTGCCACCCGCGATTGAGGCACGCAACCTCACATTTGAGTTAATCTCTCCTCTTAAGCTCAACAAAATGGAACCAATACTCAGTTTCGCACATGCCTTTGAGCTCTAACTCACATAATCACTTCAAAATCGAATCATTTTGGCCTCAAAACCCCTGATTTTGACCATTTTCAGTCCTTAAAACTCTCGGAACTTGAACTTATTTTTGGTAAGTCTCACTAAAATGCATCAAGACCCATCATCACTATTTCAACCCGTGACAAGTCCTTAATTTCCAGAGCAAGAACAGCTAAAATGCCCTCCCTGTGATTCCACCAGTATCAAGTTCTGCTACTAAAATAGCTCCAACCTCTTTTAGTCGTGCCACTTTTGCAAGAGCTGTTGTGGCTACAGGACCGCCGGCAGTGCCCTCCGCAACATCCCCGTCGGACGCAGCATCCCGAAGGCCACCGGTTGATGTCATGGCTGGGTTGATGGTGGTTTGTTATGACAAAAGCGAAAAGGATAAGAAGAAAGGAAAAAAATGAAAAAAAAAAATTCATTTGGACGATTAGAATGACGTGGAACTCACTAGTCAAATTCCAAGGGTATAACTGGACAAAAAATAACAGAGGGCAGATTTGGGAAGAAAGTAGAAGTTTGTAATTTTTTATGAGATAAAAAATAGTTTGGGGTAGAATTGGGACATTACCTATAGTTTGGGGTTTTTAATGAAATTAGGCCAAAATCGATATAACATGATAAAAATAAGCTTAGGTTTCTAATATGATAGAAAAATGGGATTAATTCCAAAAAAAAAAAAGCATTAACTTTACCTTGAGTGACAATTGCAGCTCCCGTGATGTGAAAGTTGGTGATTTTTTATGAGACATAAAAATAGTTCGGTCCAGAATTGTCACTCAAGATGAAATTTGTGCTTTTTTTTTTAATTAGCATGAGAAAAATGGTACGAAACTCATAGGGTAAAGTCATAAACCAAAATATGAGGAAGATCTAAAAATTGCTTTTCATTTGTTTTCCAATTCTATATACATTTTCATCCGAAAATCTTTATAAAAAAAAAAAGGGTGCCAGATGCGCGGGCCTGAGCAAAATAGAATCTCAGCAGAGTAGGGCCCAAGCAGGCCCGGCCAGGGCCCACTCAGGTCCGTCCAATGAGCGGGTCTAATTATTATATGGTTTATAATGTTGTCTCCTTTTCTTTTCTTTTCTTTTTCTTTTAAATATAATATTGTGGTGGGTGTTCTCATTTTCGGAAGTAGTTAATTATTAATTTTACTTAGAGAGGAAATAATGAATAGTGAATAATCATTGTACTTTTACGAGCAATGCCACGCTAACTATATTTACTAAGTGATGTGACCATATATTTTAATTGCGTATTTAAATAAGTTAATAAATTAATACATGAGGTTTCACTCGTTTCAATACCCCATTTGAAACTTTGCCTCGCCATTTAATTAGTAAATTTTTTAGAGATTTCCTAGTATATTTAGTGTTTTTCCTCTTCTCTTTGAATGGAAAGCATGTCGAAGGAGAAGGAGGTTAAAATGGAAAGAGCTAAGTTTAGTAAGGCTTATTTATCCAATCGAGTTATTAAGTAACGCGGCAAATTGTTAATATAGAACAAGTATTTAATAAAAAACCGATTTGAAAGTAGAAGAAATTATTAAATAAACTTAATACATACTAAGCTGGTTTTGGGCTCCATATATATCTCATAAGGGTTCCAAGTGAGTTCCGCAGAATCTATCGACGTAGATTCAATATATTAAATGTCCTATTTTCGTGCAATTATATCCTCAAAAGCAAATGATGCGTATGTGAGCAAGTAATTCCGGAAATGGATATTTCTGGGTTATGTGTGTGGATGGTTGTGTTTACAGGAGGTATGTCGATGGGTAAAATAGAATCAAGGATAGATTACGATCACAACCAAGGTATAAAGGACGTGCCACCAATCGAAATTGAAGATCGGGATTGACGAAATTCACCCGAGATGCTTATAGGACAAGCCACCCGCCAAGGTTAAAGGACTTCGAGATCGGAGAAGCTCACCACCAAGGCCTAAAAGAAAACCACCAGCCGAGAATAAAGCGCTTCTTGGGTCACCACTAAGGAGTAATCCACCCTCTAAGGATAAAGAAACCGATTTAGGAGTTATCCACTCTCTAAAGATAATTGCTCACGCAGAGGAAAATCTCATGTATTATGCATTACAATGGACGACTCTCCTATATTTATAGGGGAACTAAAACTTAGGAAATAGACAAACATTAAAAAGATATGGAAACTACCCAACCATTTAAGAACTTGGGAACTAGAAAGCATTTAAATACCTAGGAACTCACTTTGACTCTTGAGACTCACATAATAGTTAAGACCTAGGAACTTAAAAATGCAATGATGACACACGGAGACTTGAAATATTGAACCTTCCGGTTTATTTTCTAAAATTCATCCATCATCTTTGACCAGTGGATAACCACCTTAATAAATTAGCAAATGCCATAGGAAATTGCTTGGAACAACCTCCCATAAATATATTGTTGATTAACTTTGAATTCGGCAAGTATTCTTGGTGTACCAATAACCATAATCAGTAACTCAGTCGAAAGTCTCTTCGTTGATGATCCACCGAAGCATGTTAAGATTGAAATCTACCTTTGCTTGAATGAAGCTGAATTTGTTCATGGAGTTAAGTCGAATGCTCCCGCATGAGCAGAGCTCATACCAGTGGTTTTCTTACTTTTGGATTTAACTTTTATATATTTTGCAACTCACACGCTCCTAATTTTTCTCGAGTGTAACACATATATTCCATATTTTATTTGTATGGACACTAGCTTTTCTTCGATGTGCAATCCTTCTTTTAAGTTTGGGTTAATACCACAAAAAACCCAAAAACTAGTACATTTGTGACAAATTTACTCTCCATAATTTTCATTAAATTGGATTAATACCACGAAAAACTACAAACTGGAACATTTGTGACAAACGGAGGGTGAAACCCCAAACCAGTACATCCGTCAACTGCCACGTATCATTTAACTCAGTAATTTAACGGTAAAATTTAACGAAAACTAACGGATGGTAAATTTGTCACAGATGTATCAGTTTGGGGTTTTTGGTGGTCAAAAATTAGTTTGGGATAAATTTTTCACAAGTGTATTAGTTTAGGATTTTTCGTGGTATAGTTTAAAAAGGTTGGTGGTGGGTGGGGGCTTAATAGGGGGTTAAATGGGTTGCGGGATGGGTTTGGGAGTTCATTTACGAAGCCTATGAATTATAGTGTTTGGGACACCTTTGGAATTTGACTTGTGATGCCTAACCCCAACACCAATTCACTAATTACTCTTCTGAAGATGCAAATCCTATATACCAAGAAACAAAAACTGCTTATTTCATTCACATTTTTCTTTGCATCAAAATTAATAGTTTAATTTTTTTTATGATACATAGATTTTACACAAGAATTTAATATCGAAGTGGGTGTGTAATCTCGATCTTCATGATTGCGGATATGTAATCAAAATATGGTCTTTTAATTTACTTGGATTTCAA